CGTTCCTTAACAAGCGCCTTGCCTCGATCTTCAGGTAGAGAACCGATGCGATCCTTTAATGGAATTCTAGATTTGGAGAGATTCACGCTGTCATAGGGCTTCACCAGAGGTGCGGGAGCAATAGGAGCGGTATCTGGAGTTGACAAAGGTCGGAGAGCAGCCTCGGATGCTTTTGCCTTAGGCGTTGATTTGGCCTTTGGCATCCAAACTTGCTTAGATCTTGGTGGTTTTTTTATCACCTTTTCCTTCTGCAACTCTCGTGCCTTCCGTACAAGGATCCTTGTCTGCGCTAGCAATGCACGACGCTTATGGATACGCTCCTCAAGAGTTGAACGGGTCTTTTTGACACGAACTCATTCATTGGTTGCTGGTTTGGAGGAGGAGGTGTTTGCTTGCTACTGGAACACTTGGCGCCTTCTGAGTTTCAAATCCGCATTACAGCAGATCTCGTCAACAGACTCTAAAGCCTTGGCAAATTGGCGCGCGAGATGTTGACGACGCCTTTGACGATCCATCTTCGTCATCACTGGTGCACTTTCAACGGGCAACTCCTTGACTTTCGAGGAGTTATCACGAACGTTGGATCTGGTTTCTTTGGAGGCCGGAGAGGGATCTTCCACTGCATTCGGGTTCAGATCATCAGCCCTGGTCTTTGGATCTGAAGGCATGTTTTTCGCGGCAGTGGTTTTCCTACGTTTGCAAGAAGAAGATCTGGAGGAGGAGGAGGAAATATATTCCTTGAATTTCTACTGGTCGAATTCGTATTCGACCTCTTCGAACACCGGATCTTGATTATCGGTTGCGTCACGACAGCCTCGACAGCGAGGCTGTTAGCTCCCACTATGGTCACCAGCTTGTTTGGGGAGAAAATTAGTTTCTTTATTGAGGTACTCATTACAACTTCAGTTGTTATAATAAAAATGCAAAAAGATAGTCTTTTTATAAGACTTTTACACAATGAAAATACAATTCTCGTCAAACAGCACAGAGATCGTTTATCAGTCTTCTGCTTACGTGGGATCTTGACCTGTGACGGGGACGTTGATATCTATAGACCACCAAATGATCAAATCAAATACGAAGCTTCGTCGATTCGTGAATGAATCAAGAAGCTGAAGCGCTTATCTCGGCAATAGCGAGATAATTGCTCTTCTTAAAATCACCGCAACGGGGGAATCTTAAGGGACGAACCGGGCTACAGATCTGACGAACTCCTCTTCTTTATGCCGAAGAATCCACTGAAGTCTCCTCCTCCTCTCTTCTGAAATTCGTGCACCTTCAGTCTTCAGTCCGGCAAGGCTTCGTCAACGCTCGAGAATTCCAGATCTGAAAAAATGAAGGCCCTGGGACTGTATTTATAGGCTTCATGAGCCCTGTATTCGGATAAGAATAGCCGATTCCCTCTTATCTTTAGTTGAAACCATTTAACCACATTATCAGATCAGTTGGAATAAATCCAGATGGTTAACGATCAAAAAACCGTCGAAAACAACCAAAATCATCTTTTTTGTATTGGAGACACTTCTGAGGTATTGGAGACACTTCTAAGTGTCTTGGCCAAGCCAAGACACTTGAGAGTGTCTCAGCTTGGCAGAGACACTCAAGAGTGTCTCAGCCAAGCGTGTCTTGGCTTGGCCAAGACACTTACAAGTGTCTTGGCCAAGCCAAGACACTACGGGGTGTCTCAATTTGGCTTTTTCCGGTTTTGGTTCATCGAGTTCGTTTCCACCGTAAATTCGTCCTCCGAACTCGAAATTACGTGGTCCAATATGCGTTGGAAAGCCGACGAGGAGATATACAGGATTCCATGATTGAATTACATGTGGAGTAAATAGGATGCGAGGGGTGCTCCGCCTTTCGTAAACGACACGGGGCTCCCGATCAGGTCTTATTCCCGTTATTCTGAAGTTTCGTTGCTTCGTATGGTTCGTCGACTCATTTCATGTGTTCGTCATCGTCAAATGAGCTCCTGTGACTCGGGTAGAGACATTCATCGTCTTCTATCTATCTTGAGCCGTGTACGGGGACCTATTGGCAATTTTGGACGTCTATAGTGACCATTTTGTGTCTAAGAACTTTGGATTATTTACATCCAGGTACCTTGTAGTATGATGCAACTACACAAATGACCCTGGGGTTTATGTATATATGCAAATAATTCTGAGTTTACTGACATAGACTATACAAGTAACCTTGAGTAACCTTAAGATTACTTTCATGGGATTAGCCGTGTAGTCTCACACAGTAATCTCATAGTTATCCATGTGATACATAGACCATGGGGTTATCCATGTAATTACACCATACCATGGCATACCAGGATGTAAATAATCGTATAATTTTCTATGTAGTCAAAGAGTGTGCTAGATCTAAGATGCAAGTCTAGAGGGGGAGTGAATAGGATTGCCTGATATTTTTCCCGTAACCACAGAATATGCTTCGGAATAAAACGAATAATACTGATAAATGATAATAAGCAATACAATTAAAACAAATTTAGCCAAATAAGAGACATGTGAGATTTTATAGTGGTTTGGATATACAACGTTACATCCACTCTTCCTTCTTGCGAAGAGGTTTCCTCACTAGGAAAGTGCTCATCTGGATCACATATTCGATTTAGTAGGCTTACAAGGCACACCCTAGTATCTACTAGGGGTGTGCAACGGTCGGTTCGGTTCGGTTTTTACCAAAATTTGAACAACCAAACCGAACCGCCTATAATTGAAAACCGAACCGAATTGTTGCAAGTTGGTTCGGTGCGGTTCGGTTTGGTTTGTTCGGTTCTAACTTCATCAAACTTCTTATCAAACAACAAACTATGTTAAAGAAAAAAAGATATCAACAAAGTAGGAGATTATGAAACATTAAATACTGATATAATAATATTATTTTTAACTTTAAAACCGTTTTTTTCGGGTCGTTTCGGGTCGGTTCGGTCGATTTTTTCGGTTTGAACCGAACCATGCTCAGCCCTAGTATCTACCCAAAACTAGTCATCTGACCTAACTCTCACCATTGGTAACTCCTAATCCTAACTAGTCCCAACTCTCAATTAAACTAATTTGAGTGCGCCGTAGAAGAAATTCAATGAAAGACAAAAAAAAATAACAATTAAGTTTGATAAAAACAATCTTACAGCCCTTTCGATTAATAATCGTCCTTCAAAAGATCTATGTGAAGTTTGATGAAGAATAGGGATAAAGATGAACACCAAATGCAGCTCTCCTCATCGCGAATTAATCAAATAATGTTGTGTGCGGTGAGTGAGCGTTTGACCAAGCTTCAGGGGATCAAAAAGCTCTCCTTAATCACAAATTTCAAATCGCTCTCCTTAATCACAAATCTCAAATCCTAGATATCCTCTCTTTCTCTCTGTTTTTCTTTCTCAATTAAGTTAGGAAAGAATACACCAGAACATAGGAGAGGATGGAGACTTCATGTGCAATGAAAGGCTGAGATTAAAACCTAAAATTTTGAATCAGCAGTGTTTACCATCGATGGTGATTCTCAACCATTGATGGTGTCGAGCGACCATCAATGGTTGAGTGATGTCATCGATGATCTGCACGTCCCTGGACATTTGCATCATTGATGACACATACGAACCATCGATGGTCTTCATGTCATCAACGATGGTCGATGTGCACCATTGATGGTTAAACTCCTGAATCAGCTTTTAAGCTGATTTTCGCTTAGTGTCGCCTCAATCATGGTCTATAGTTGTATTTATCTGTAGTAGATCATCTTAAACATAAATTGGTATCAAATGAATGTTTGTTATAACTCAAACAAGAGATATTGTATGGACCATGTCTTAACAGAGTGTTTTGTGAAGCTATTCCCATTAAATACACCCCACTTGTATAATACTCATGCATAATACATGCTCTAACAGTATGTAATAGGAGACATCACACTCTTCATATATGTCATATAACGAACTGTTTATGCTCTGAAAATATTAATTAGATCATAAACCCTAAATTACTTTTGTATCACATGAAATAAAAACTATGAGGCCCTTCCATGTGAACTGTTGTCAACATTTATTACGTTATCAACAATTCCACACTCTCGCTTCTTGGAAAAATGCTAAGCATACTATTTTTTTCCCCCACTACTTTGGCATTACTACTCACAAAAGTGTGGAAGGCCTCACTTGAAAACTATATTGATGACTCATCATGGCCCACTCTTTTGTGAGTGTTAGTGTCAAAGTAGTATTGAAATATAACACACTTATCGCTACTCGATCTGTTTTCTTGTAGTACTAGTATGTACCCCGTGCAAAGCACGACAATTTATTTTTTCTATCATTATATTTTAAATTTATGTCTCTCTAAGTTTTAATACATTTAATATGATTCTTACACTTAAAATTAAAAATTATAAATCATATAAAAATATATGTTACCCAAAAAATTAATATCATCTGATGCATACACATTATTGCTCTAAAGAATATAAGGTGAACTCAAAAATTCCAAAATTCTCTTTCCAAAGTTTTGTCAATGGCAAAAATTTTGCAACCAATTACTATTCAAGAGGTCAATTTATTTTGTATATCGAGGGAGGATTGTTTTGGAAAAGTAAAGTAGCTTAAATTGGTCTTGTTATTATCTATTTCTTCATTTTCCATTTTTCTTGTTGTTCTACAAAAGAAATTAAGTAATTTGGACCGTCTTTGTTAGCGATGGAATTGAACCAAATAAATAATGAACAATTAAGTTATTATTCTGTCAGATATTCGACCAAGCACGCGATAGTTTATTTAGTATTAAACAAATATTTATTAGTATTAAAATTATAAACGAATAGAATTTAACTAAATTTATATTCGATTCGATTGATTATTCTTTATTGGATAACTTTTTACATCTTAACATCTGACTCATATTAATTAAACTTTTTTTTGCAAACACTACTTATCTATATCTAAATTTTTATATACAAATGTAACCTATATAAAAACTCAAGAGGGGGATTCTAGGGCTTTTCCATTTTCTTAGCCGCCTCCACCATTCGCTTCAGACCTGATCTCAGGGTTAGGCTCTCTCCTCACATCTTTGAGATCCGCTCAGCTGCTCGACCACTCCGACGATCAATCTTCGAGATCTGCCGCCTTTGGTCAGCTGCTCCGCCAGTTGTCTCCGACTCTCCTCTCCAAGATCCGCCACTCTGCTTGGCCATTGACAGTCTCTTCGGCCGTCAACAATCTTCTTCTCCGTCGATGCTCTCTTCCTCTCGAGTCTCGAAGCTCTCATCCCCCCTCTGGCATGTCCTCGACTACCCTAATCTACCATCCTTTCATCAAAATGTAAGAAAAGCTTAGAATTTTACAATTTTTTTATTTTGATTGAAATTAGTTGCTAAACGCATATTCGCTCTAATTTCTATCATTCGTGGTAATTTATTGTTTTACTTGAGCCTTTTTATTTCTATAATCAGTAGATGATTTATCTATTATTGAATTTAATTTTACTTTTTTATTTTTGTATTTAACTTTTCATGTTATTTTGCACGTTAATATCTTTGTAAGTAGTTGATTTCTGTGCAGTTCATTTTGCATGTTATTATTACATGTTAATCATTTTACCTTTGTCGTTCATCTATTTACCATTTATTTTGCGTGTTAATCTCATTGTAAGTAGTTGATTTCTATATTATTGAATTTATTCATGAGCATCACTTCCCATGAATATATGAGAATATATATTTATATGCTGTGGAATTAGGGTGATTAGGGTCTTATGCTAATCTAATCTGATTTTATGCTAATTAAAACTAATAACAAGTTATCCTAGCAAGTATGAAATACAACAAGATATGTGAGCTAGGATAAGCAATATGAACAATGAGATATATACTATATGATAAAATACATGTAAGGATATATAAACTAACACAAGGGTGAAATAAACAATCTACAAAAGTGATAGGACAATTTACAATGGCGACAAGAATGTAATGAATACTAAGCACAAATGAAAACGCCAAAGCAAACTCAAACACAAGCAAATGATCACGGAGTTCGGACCTTCCGTCCTACGTCTCCGCTCCCCACTCCCGGGGAGAAATCCACTATCATAACCGGGTTTTCTACGCTTACCCGAATAACTTTTACACCTCACAATGTTGGTTTTCAACCCTCACCGATCAACGTTCACACCTCACACTCTCACTCGGTTTTTTGGTTTATCGAAAACTTTACAACAACACACTCGGTTTTCTAGCTCACCGAAAACCTTACAATCTCACAATCTAACAAATGATTTATTCTCTATAATAGATGAGAACTCAATGTAAGCTCAAACTCAAAGTTACAACACTCACCAACCCAAATATACTATGTATGAATACAATAAGCTCAATGTGGGTGTGTGTAACAATAAGCTATCAAATCTAAACTCAATATAAAAACTAGCTTTAAAGAATGATAATCAAAACAAATATGCAAATGTAAAGCTAGATATGAGTTTAGAAATTCTTCTCTGAAAAAACAAGATAGAGAGATGGATTAAGATGAAGCCCAAACAATATAGATGATCTCCTCCACTTGTGAAACAGTCTTCATAAACCAAAGTCTTTTAAAACACATAAAACAAACTTTAAAACCCTTGTTAAACTTGTTTAAAACATTCTCATTTGATTGTTATGAAGGATGAGAGCAATGGGGTATTTATAGTCACCCAAAACCTCAGCCAAAAATCCCAAAGGAAAAGACCAAAAAACCTAAGAATCAGAAATCTGATTCTGTACCAAAACTAGTCGTTGGGCGATCGGCGGTCGACCGTGGAAAATCTCGCGGTCGACCGCTGAGCCACTTTCGAGGCTCGAAAAATTTCGCAGAGACTTTTACGGTGCGATTGTGGGAATTTTTGAGCTGACGGTCGCCCAGGCCGGTCGACCGCGAAAGTTTCTGCTGTCCACTCAGGAAAAAAACACAGGCGAGGTCGACCATAGCAGTCGACCGCAAATAGATATAAGAAATAACAGGTTTAGAAGCAGTTTGATGATTTTAAAACCCTGTTTAAAAATATCAAATAAATTTCAAAAAATGTAAATCTTTGGAAAATGATTGTAGACATGATAATACACATGCTACAAAAACTAGTTTTTAAAAAGGACCTACCAAATAAAAAATATCATCATTTTGCAAAATAGTCCAAAATATGAAAATGTGAACATATGAGTTTTGATATTTTAGCTTAACCATGTTTTAAAACAATACAAAATGATTTTCTAGACTTAATAAAAGATGTATATGATTGTTATTAAGTCCATAAACAAATAATATAATATTTTCACAAAATTGCATATTCTATGCAATATATACGAAAACACAATAGAGTATGAAATATGTAATTTCATATATATAAACATAAAAACCCAAAATACATGTATGTATATAACTTGGATCTTCAATTTGAATTGCATAGGCTTCACTCCACAATTCTGCCAACCTCCATTGGATATGATCATGAAAGCTCGATTCCATCCATCCTCCAACTTGTTGTTTGTCTAGAATAAATACGAAAATACAAATACTAGACAAACAACATTAGAAGTAAATTGTTTGTTAAACATCATCAAAAAATTGTTTGTTAAACATCATAAAAAAAAGAAGGCCAACAATCTCCCATTTTTTGATGATGACAAACAATTTACAAAAAAGATATATGTATGAAAGGAATTGAATATAAAAAATATAATATATCATGCATATAAACAAGAAAGAATATACTCATAATATTTCTTCCCCTTTGACAACATCAAAAAGGGGAAAACAAAAGAATGAAGAGAGCGAAAGCTCCCCTATCAATATGCATAGGTGAGTATAAAAACAATAATAGAAAAGGGAAGACTCCCCCTATCAAAATGCCTTAATGAATATATGCAATGAATGCTAAGGCATACATATGTGAGCAAGCAAGAAACATGCTAAACACAACTCACATACAAAAGACAATGAGAACACATATAAATATGTCAATATAAAAATAGTGTCTCATTAACACAAAAAATATAAAAACCATATAAAAGAATAGATTTATGAAAACAAAAGAAGAGGAACATGAGAATCATGCAAAAGTTTTCAAATGAAAATAAATCAACCAAAAGAAATCATAAATCAAAGTTTAAATCCAAAAATGATGTTTGATCAATCAAGAGAATTTTCTTTATGGGATTTGATCAAACCACATATGGAATACATTATAAGGCACGAATAGATGATCCATAAGCACAAACACATAAACATCATCATATAAGTGAAATATAATGAATTCAAAGCAATAATTCAAAACAAAATCTTTGATAAAAGAATTTCAAGAGAGACAACAATATATCAAGCTCTTAAGCTTGTTCTAATCCATATAATCATTCTAGCATCCGGTAAACATGTTTTGGGAATAAACACCCAATAAATCCGGAGGGTTATATAAACACAAACCTCTCATCAAAATTAAAACTAATAATCATGAAAATAAAAGATTTGATAAAAGAAAAATTGTTTTCATAACCAAAAGATCTTAAAAACATAATTTTCAAAACCAAGAAAATAAAAAAGAAAAACACTAAAATACTTGGTTTTTAAAAATCAAATTTATTTTGGTACCCAAAAATTCTTGGTACCAAGAGATTTAGGGACATGACCCCTATCTTTTAGCTTAAAGCTCTAGGATTATGAACCCTCTTGGGCATATATGGTGCACTAACACGGTCAAAACAATATTTACTCAAATGACCCTTCCGATTGCAATTTGTGTAATGAAAGAGATCCATTTGTTTTTGTGGACCTTTAGCTCATGCACAGGAATCATTTGTAAATGAAGATTATCTTTTAAAATTATTTTGCAAATTAGAAACATCATTAAACAAAGATGGTCTACTTAAGAAATTTGGCAAGTTTGAATATTTTTTCAAATCATAACAAAATTTTGCCAAATGGCCAAATCTACCACAAATATCATACTTAAACACATGTGGTCTATGAACACCATTGGTATAATATAAGCATCTTCAATAACTTCTCATAAATAGAATTGTTTAGATCTAACAAATATGTTAAATCTAGAACACCATTGGTCATAGGGGAGATTATCTATTTTAGGAGCAATAATAGGATCATAGCCTAAACAAGATGCACAATGTATGTCCATAATAAGAAAATATATGCAAGCAAGATACAAATAAAATTAAAACAAGATTAGCACAAAAAGATAACTTGGATCTTTAACTCAAGACGATTAGACCTTAAATTAAATAGCACCAAGCTCTGATACAAATTGTTAGATCCTAGAGGGGGTGATTAGGGTCTTATGCTAATCTAATCTGATTTTATGCCAATTAAAACTAATAACAAGTTATCCTAGTAAGTATGAAATACAACAAGATATGTGAGCTAGGATAAGTAATATGAACAATGAGATATATCCTATATGATAAAAATATATGCAAGGATATATAAACTAACACAAAAATTAAATAAACAATCTACAAAAGTGATATGGCAATTTACAATGGCGACAAGAATATAATGAACACTAAGCACAAATGAAAACGCCAAAGCAAACTCAAACACAAGCAAATGATCACGAAGTTCGGACCTTCCGTCCTACATCTCCGCTCCCCACTCCCGGGGAGAAATCCACTATCATAACCGGGTTTTTTACGCTTACTCGAATTACGTTTACACCTCACAATGTCGGTTTTCAACCCTCACCGATCAACGTTCACACCTCACACTCTCACTCGGTTTTCTAGTTTATCAAAAACTTTACAACAACACACTCGGTTTTCTAGCTCACCGAAAACCTTACAATCTCACAATCTAACAAATGATTTATTCTCTACAATAGATGAGAACTCAATGTAAGCTCACACTCAAAGTTACAACACTCACTAACCCAAATATACTATGTATGAATACAATAAGCTCAATGTGGGTGTGTGTAACAATAATCTATCAAATCTAAACTCAATATAAAAACTAGCTTTAAAGAATGATAATCAAAACAAATATGCAAATGTAAAGCTAGATATGAGTTTAGAAATTCTTCTCTTAAAAAACAAGATGGAGAGATGGATTAAGATGAAGCTCAAACAATGTAGATGATCTCCTCCACTTGTGAAACAGTCTTCATAAACCAAACTCTTTTAAAATACACAAAACAAACTTTAAAACCCTTATTAAACTTGTTTAAAATATTATCATTTGATTGTTATGAAGGATGAGAGCAAGGGGGTATTTATAGTCACCCAAAACCTCAGCCAAAAATCCCAAAGGAAAAGACCAAAAAATCCAAGAATTAGAAA